TATCCTCTCCTACTTGTGTATTTCTGGCTGTATTTGTCAGCTTTTTTTCCCCCTTGAAAACATTTCTTTTCATTGTTTAGGAAGCTAGTTGTCTAAATCCAGGGTGCCAGCTCTAGAGGAAGATTTTTCTCTCTCTGTCAACATTGAAGGAATGCCCTTGTCTTTTTTTAACATATATGAGCTCAGCATTCCTCAGAGCGTTTTGTGTGCCTTGGCCTTCCGCTGAGGACATTCCCAGTGTAAAACCTCTGTCTGAAGAACGTGCCCATGCCTGGCTCTTCTTTCTTGGTGGTACTGAAGTCTTCCTCTTTCTGCTTTCTTCTCTCTCCTTTCATCCCTTTTTTTTAAATTAATTTTTTAATTTTAATTGAGATTTCCATTATCCTGGATTCCCATTCATTCATTGATGCAGATTTTCCTCCCTACCCACACCCCCAGTTCACTTTTCTCTTTGAAAAACATTCTTTCATTGTTGCATAATGCGCCCCCCCCCTCCAGTCCACTTTGCTATGCAGCTCTTATTCTGGATTGTTGTCGTGCAAATAATACCCAATCATATATTCCTTTTAAATGGTTCTTTCCCTCCTCTGTTTCAATGTAGTGTACATTATTTATCCCATCTTTTCTTAGTTTCCCTGCAGCCCCCATGTCAGTCCTGTTTTATAATAGTGGTATTATGGAGTATTTGTCCTTTTGTGACTGAGATATTTCACTCAGCATAGGGTCACCCATTTTGTATCATATTTTATGAGCTCCTTGTTTTTCAGTGCTGTGTAGTATTCCATTGTGTGAATATACCACAGCTTCTCTATCCATTCATTTGTTGATGGGTACTTTGGTTGTTTCCATCTCTTTGCTATTGTGAACAATGCAGCAATAAATGTAGGTGTGCATTTTTCAGCCTTTTTATACCATGAACTAGGTCTTCTAAGCTTGGTCCTACTTTGTCTCTTATGATCTTTACGGTTTTGGGCTTTACCACCTTGAGTTGATCTTTGTGTCTGGTGAGAGGTGTGCATCCTGCCTCAGCTTTCTGCAGGTAGTAGTCCAGTTTTGCCAGTACCATTTGTTGAAGAGGTTGTTGTTCCCCCATTCGATACGTTTCATTTCCTTGTTGAATATCAGGTGACTGTAGATGAATAGATTGATTTCTGGACTCTTGATTCTGTTCCATTGGTCTGTGTGCCTGTCATTGGACCAGTTCCATTCTGTTTTGGTTATTACAACTGTATAGTAGGTTTTGAGATCAGAGAATGCTATGTCTCCCACTTTATTCTTGTTTTTCATAAGTGCTTTGCTTATTCAAGATCTCTTTCCTTTCTGAACAAACTTGCCAACTGCCTTTACTATCTCTTTGAAAAATGAATTCGATATCTGTATTGGGATTGCATTAAATGTGTAGATTGCTTTTGGTAAGATTGTCATCTTTACTATATTGAGTCTTCCTATGCAGAAACAGGGAACATTTTCTTTTTTTTTTAGGTCTTTTACTGTGTCTCACAGAAGTATTTTGTAGTTTTCTTTGTAAAGGTCTTTTGTGACTCTGTTGTTGTTACATGCCATCGAGTCACCTGCGACTCATAGCAACCCTTTGTACAAAAGCCCTAAATCCTGCTCTATCTCTTGCCAATCTTACTATCTCTGACACGCCTATCCCCATTACCCCAGTGACTGAATCAATCCACCTTATTGATGGTCCTCCTCTCCTGCACTGTCCCACCACCCTCCCAAGCATGACGTCCCTCTCCAAGGACTGATCCCAACTTGCAACATGTCCAAAGTATGTCAGACAAAGCTTCAGAATCCTTGCCTCCAAGGAACAGCCTCGCTTCACCCTCTCCAGGACGAACTTGTTTGTTCTCCTAGCAGTCCATGGTATATTCAACACTCCAGCACCACAGCTCGAAGGCATCAACTCTCCTTCTATCATCCCTAGCCATTGTCCAGCTCTCTGATGCATAGCAAGTAATTACAAAGACCATGGCCTGTATCAGGTGCACCTTAGTCTCTAGACTGACATTTTTGCTCTTCAGTACTTGGGAGAGGTCTTGACAGTAGACTTGCCCAATGCAATTAATCTTTTAATTTCCTGACTGCTGATACCAAAAGTGTTGATTGTAGGGCCAAGCAAACTGAAGTTGTCAACAATCTTTGTGTCTCTATTTAGGTTTATTCCTAATATCTCAATCTGTGGTTGACTATTATTCTTGGTTTCCTTCTCTGAGTTCTCTTTGTTACTATAGAGGAATCCCACTGACTTCTGTATATTGATCTAGTATCCTGACACTCTACTAAATTGGCCTACTAGCTCTAATAGGTTTTCTTTTCGTTGTTGTTGTTGAGTTCTTGGGGGTTTTTATGTACACTATCATGTCATCTGCATATAGTGACAGTTTCACCATCTTTTTTCCTACCTACATACCTTTTATTTTCTTCTCTTGTCATATTGCTATTCCAAGTACTTCCAATACAATATTGAGTAGGAGTG